GACTCTGTGGCATGTAAACTATATCTCAACAAAGCCGTTTAGGAATACATGCAGGTCAAATGTGGTGGCACACACAATTAAACATGGCACATGGAGGCAGAGGCAAGTAGCCCTCTGAAGCCCGCCAGGTCTACACAGTGAGTCTAGGCCAGCCAGGGCTACACAGATGAACCCTGCCTCCAGAACACAAGATGGTTCAGTGGTTAACAGTGCCTGCTCTTCAATCATGAGGACCTGCGTTCAAATCCCCAGCACTCATATAAAAGACCGGGCATCGCTGTGCAAGCCTCTAATCCTAACTAGTGAATCCCAAGAGCTTCCTGGCCTGCCCAGCCTCCTGTAACCTCGGTTTAATAACAGACCTTGCCTCAAGGCAATAAGGTGGATGGAGACTTACCGTAGAAGATGGCTAATGTCCTGCTCTGACCTTCCTATGTACACACACACACACGTATCACACACATGCGCACACACGCACGCGCGCACACACGTGTCACACATATACGAAAACACTAGGTCAGGTGCACTGGCACACTCTTTTAATCATAGCACTCAGGAGGTAAAGGTGGAAGGATCTCTAAGTTCAAGGGTTCAAGGCCAGCATGGTCTACAGAGAAAGATAAGGACAGCCAGGGATACATAGAGGAAACCCTGTCTCAAAAAGCAAAATAAACAAATACAAAACCTAATGCCAAACATACAATGCAGAACGCCTTATAGGACTCAACTAACATGTTACTTTTAAATCATTTTAAATTCCGAAACTTAGAAAACAGGCGAGACAAAACACCAAAGGAAAAGGCTGGGGCTGCAGCTCAGTGGATAGAGGGCTCGGTTACTCTGCAGGAAGTCCTGACTCCATCCTCAGCATCCAATACAAACAGGGTGTGACGGTACACACCTACCATCCCAGCATTCAGATGCACACACGGACTTGGCTATGTAGTGTTTGTGGACAGCCTGGACTACATTAGAACATGCTTCAGAAGAAAAGAAAAAGAACAGGATAAGTCAAAGGAGAAATGAAGGTAGGAATTAATGACAAGACTTATGGAACCTGCCTGAAGACCATGATCAACCAACCAATCAGGAGAGGGAAAACTTCCATTTTGCACAGGTACTCACTCATGATAGCACACGCCTTTAACCCCAGCACTCAGGAGCCAGACGCTGGCAGATCTCTGAGTTCCAGGCCAACCTGGTCTACAAAGTGAGTTCCAGGACAGCCAGGGATATACAGAGAAACCCTGTTTCCCAGGGAGGGGGGAGGGGAGATGAAAACACATACAACAATGCCAGTCATTAAATTAAGGTCCACCCCCACACAGTAAGGATGTTAACTCTGTCTGTCCTTGAACTGAAAATGTAGGGCTGTTAAAGTCCTCTTGTCTTGGCTTCTAGACGACATGTCCCACTGCATCCACCCAGAGATCTAACTTCTTCAACACAAGCAAAATACAATGAAGACAGCAAAACAATGTGGGCTCGTGCTCTACAAACTCCTAGTGTGCACTGGACAGCAGCAGAAGCCTGAAATGTGTCAATACATGACTCCACAGTTCAGGTCAGGCCCTGGGACTCCATTCCCACTCTACCTCATCAGCCACAGAGCATCAAAGAGATGAAGTAAAGACACCATGTAGATGGACAATTCTATAAGCCATGTCCTCACCTGCCTCTGTCACTGTTTTAAACCAGTCCAGCAGTTTCTCCAAGCAGGTGTCATCTGCCACCAGCTGTCTGGGATCTGCTAAAGCAGCACAGAGAGCTGGGAGGAGCCTGGAGCATTCTGGGTCCATGATCAGGCCAGTAGTTCCTACAGAGGAAGCAAGAGGTCAGCTTCAGATCTGGCTTCGGACACCAGCTACCCTAGTTACAAGCAGCCTTCAATGCCTGTTAGGATGGGGGAGGGGCCCGGACAACTTCACGTGGACCAGAACTCTTGAGTCGACAAACATGCTAAGCTCAAGTCCAGGGGAACCTGAGCAAGAGGATCGAGTCCTGGCAACTGCACTTGGGTGAGGACAGGTTAATCAGAGCCACAAGATCTTTAGGGTCAAAGTCTGTTAACTTGGGGGTTTGGTGGAGTGGGGTGGGGTGCAGCTGCCTATTAACCTTCGAGGAGAACAGTCAGGGGATCAGCCAGGTGTGCAGGAGACTGTTCATCCAGGCACCTGATCCCAAAATCTGTTCCCAACGGTCAAGAGAAACCTGGATGAGACAATCCTGTCAGCCACGGAGGAGTGCACGGGAAGGTGGGTGTCACACCTCAAGACGGTAGAGGCTGCAAGTGACAATCCCGCGTACTCCACCTAAGTGTCTCCTCAGGACAGAAATATGCATCTTGGAGATCAATGATTCCGGTATCTGTCGGCCCTACAAGGCTGTCTGGACCCCGACATCCGTACCTCCCAAATCCGAGTAAGAGGTGCGCTCTCCCCGACTGCGAGTTGGCTTGGGGTTCTAATCCCGCCCCCGCATCCCTCCGCTAAGGAAACTAGGCCCGAGAGTGCAAAATGCACCACTAGGCTGCCTTACCGAAGTTCGAACTCCGCCTTACCAGGATCTCGACCCCCCGGCTTGCGTGCGCCTCACCCGCTGTGGTTCCGGTGTCTAAGGCAGGCCCCGCCCTCGCCTCCGCAAATTCCGCTTCACACTGGCTGAGGCCCCGCCCTCCCTAGGTCCTGCCATTTCAGAGCTCGCTCCACGCAACCGCGAGCCCCGCCCCACGCAACCGCGAGCCCCGCCCCACATCAGCACAGGCCCTGCCCCTCAGCAGGAATTGGCTCCACCCCTCCAGTTTCAAGTCCCACCCCACCTAATTTCGTGGCGGGCAGCGAGGCCCCGCCCCCTAAGGCCCCGCCCCCGACGGAAGTTTCTCTCCACTTTGCTACAGGCTCCGCCCCTCAGTGACGCAGATTCCTCTCCCAGCTCTGGTCCGTCTCCACAGGCCCCGCCCTAAGTCAGTACCACGTGACGGACACGGGGGGGGAGCGCAAAAAAGCGGGGTCGACGTGCTTGGAGGCTGGTGATGACTCTGCCGGTCCTATCACCTCTAAGGTTCAAACTATGTCCACGCACTCCAGCTGGGTGCAGTTTGGGATTTTCACACTGTACCAATCTCTCGGAACTGTCGGCCCCCGCCAGGACGCCGTATGGTACGTGCCCACGCAGGCAGTGGGCGGAGCGCCCCCGAGGCGGGCTGGGTGTGGGCGTGGCTACTCGCTAGGAGGCGGGGCCTCGCGGCCCTCAGGCCACGTGTCTTCGCTTTTAAGGTCCCCGGTATCTGTGTGCTCCTCTAACCCTTGCGTTCAGCTTTAGTGTACTGTGTGGGCAGCAGCCGGCAGATCAGCACGGAATCCCCGGTGCTAAAACCCTCGGTCCCCACAGCGAGCCGCGCTATACTGGGTCTAGAGTGTCAGGACCCTCCAGTCACCAAAGCCTGCATTTCTTCTGTGGCTCTTCACAGCCCCAGTCTTCTCTCCCCTCTTGCCTTCTCTCTGCCATCCATCCATTGCTGCCAGCTCTTCGCAACTTCAGCATGCTCTTCTAGTGATAAAGATTAAAAGTAGGCCATTGGGGACTAGAGAAATGAGCCAGTGGTAAAGAATACCTCCTACTCTTCCCGAGAACCAGAGTTTGGTCCCCAGCCCTGAGATCACTCTCTCTCACACACACACACACACACACAAAAACACAGAAATAAAAATATCTTTTGGGATAGAGTTCCAGAATGCCTAGAGATAAAGATAACGCTCATCTACCCTGGAATTCCAATATGCTTTAAATCGGGCATTGCGAGTTCAATTGGCTGTCTCTTTCTCTGTCTTTTGGTAATGGGAGACCCCAGCATGCTGGACTTCTGCAGAATAAAACACTCTTTGCGTTTACATACTATTTGAGTCCCGGGTGTTGTTATTTGGCAAATCATGGGCCCTTACACAAACAAGAAGAAAACCTCCCAGGAGAAACCTTGTATTGAGCTTAATGTTGCAATGCCACCCGGTTGCAGAGAGCTGTTTACTCAAAAACTGAACGCGTGCTGTGGAATAGTAAGTCTAAGGACCTGAGTTCAGGTACAAGAACCCATGGAGGAGATGGGATGGGGTGGAACAATAAAATAAGGAAAGCGGGTTATGGTGGTATATATTTGTAACCCCAGCACTGAGGAGGCAGCAGACTAAATCAATCTCTGTCTGACTGTCTCTCTCTCTCTCTCTCTCTCTCTCTCTCTCTCTCTCTCTCTCTCTTTCTCTCTCTCTGTCACACACACACAAGGCATATGATACACTGTTTGCACCTCTCACTGGCCTGCTGGGCCACCAGGGAAGTGCTCCCCATCTGACCTGGGTAGGAAAAGCCACAGGATCCTGGAGAGTTCAGAGAGGCTTGTGATAACAAACCATCAGCTGAGGGTTTAAGGCAGTTGGTGCTGGCCCATGAGCAGTCTCGTCCTCAAGGCTCCATGCCCCAGGTCTAACAATTAAGGAGTCACTTTGGCCCCCAACATCTCAGCTTCTTTACAGGAAAAACAAACGTGTAAGTAGACTGATGTCCTCAATCTCAAATCTTGCCTATCGTTAAGGATGGAACCTTACACTGTGCCCTCTGCTTCCACTCAGCATGGCGACCCTCGGAACCTTTACCCACTGGACTACATAGTTGCAGCCACTGTCTGTGGAAATCCAACTCGGGCTCCTGAAGTTGGATCTGAGAGCATGGCTCCGAGGTAGAAAGTTAGCCTTGCCTGCGGGAGGCCAAAGGTTCAATTCCTGCACACCCGAGAAACCAAAAATAAATAAACAAACAAAACCCCAAAACAAACAAAAAGCAAGAAACAAGGTGCGACTGCGCAGTGCAACCCCGGGAGAGTGCTTTGTTGGCCCCTCGCTCGCGCACACTCTGCGCGTGCACAGGATTCGTCGGGCTCCGGGGGAAGGACCACATCCGGGGCCCTGTGGCCGCGGCACGGTTGCCATGGTACCAGGGCGGCTGGCAGGCCTCCCAAGCTGAGGGCCGAGCTCGCAGGACTAGGGAGGCCGCGCAGCGCTGCCGCTATGAGCCTGGGCACCACAGATCTGGCCTCGGAGACGGTAAGGAGCCCTGGGGCGGAGGGAGGAAGGGCGCACGGTGGCAGCCAGCTCCGGCAGGCCGATTGTTACCGCACAAGAGCCAGCTCCGGGCGTCGGCCGCCACCGTGCCCGCGCCCCAGCAGCCTCTAGCTCCCGCCTGCGCTCGCGGAGGCCACTACTTCCAGGAAGCCCCCGGGACTGCGCCCTCCTGCACGCGCTGCGTGTCTGAGGCCGAGGCCGACCGGCGATAAGCTCTTCTCGTAAGTGTTGCGGTGAGCTGCCGTCCGGCGACGCCTCGAAGCGATCCCGAGCTAGGGGGAAGGCCTGCCCACACCGTCCCCCATGGCTAGTCCTGCACGGGTCCGAGAGGCATCTCGGAAAGAGGCGTGCCTCTCTCGCTCTCCGAGTGCGTGTCGGTACCGAGTGAACTTTGTGCTTTCCGGGGGGCAGGGGGAGCGGTGGTTATAGGATAGGGCAATAGGCTGATGTCCCCAATCTCAAAAAGAAGTTTGGAACAGGTTTAGAGCCAGCGGGAACATCAAATGTAAAGGCCGCAAGGACAGAGAAAGTAGCATGCGGGAAAGCAAACTCTTGGGGTTGAGATTTAGAAGGGCACTAAGGGAGGTAGGCAGATACCTGGCCAGGGTGAACTATGTTTTTCAAGGGTCCAAGGGACGCCCGTGGAAGGTTCCACAACAGACTGAAGGACCAAGCTTTTGGGCAGCAGAGAGCAGCTGGGATTTCCTATTTGTCTCTGCACGAGGCTTTCCAAGATCTGCCTCGTTTCAGAGCTCGGGGTCTCAACACCACCTTCAGAAACTGCCCCCAGTAACTACCCCCTCATCTCTGTTTGTTTTCTGGGTGCTGCTGGGCACTTAAACCCTCATGTCAGGCTAGATCCACATAGATGAGCCTCCCCAGCTGGGTCACTGGGAGAGTCTAGGCAAGCACTCAGCTTCTCAGCCCAAGCAAGTGCTCTACCACTGAGCCACCCGCCGGTCCCCCCCCCCCCCCCGCAGCACATCCGTCACAGGGCTCTCCCACTGAACTACATCTCCAGACCTTTAAGTTAAAACCTCCCCAACTAAGGGTGGGACTTGGTAGGGGAAGACTTTGAACGGGATGTTAGGAAACAAATAAACAAATTAATTATTGGACTCAGTGGATAAAATGCTTGCCGAAGCCATCAAAGCCATGTGGGGACTGCAGACTGCTGCCTGTAATCCGAATGCTCAGGAGCTGAAGGCAGGGGAAGCCCCTGGGCAACCTGACTAGCCAGACTGATGAACTCTGGGTTTAGCAAGAGAGCCTAGGTCAAAGTGGAAAGGTCCGAAGGGAGACACAGAGTCTGTTTCAGACCTCCACAAGCATGCACACGCAGGCACGCATACACAAATGAGCAGCCAGATAGAGCCCCGGAGTTCTGTTCCCAGCACCGTGTCAGGCAGTTCACAATTGCCTGGAAGGCCACCTCCGGGGATCCCGTACCCTCTTCTGGTATACACGTGCACATGTACAGACACACACAAATAAAGTTTACATATCTTTAAATAGAAAGCATGAGATTAAAAGGTATATATGCAAAACTACTCTGCCAGGAGATGGGCAGAGAGACTCAGCATCCTTTAAATAGAAGCAGAGTGACTCTGGTGCTGAAACAGTGAAAACTGGCTTGCTTCTCTTGACTTGAGAACTCTTACCAAAGGCAGGCACACAGTTGACCTGAGAACCCACCATACTTCTATGGGTATGTCCTCCCCCTAGCCTCCCACCCCCCGGCCAAGCAGAACCTTTTCATTCACCCCTACTCCAACCTCCCTCCTCTTCCTGTGTGTGTTTGTGAATGGAGGCTGGAGGGGTGTCACGTGCCCCCTTTTGTTGAGGGGGTGGCCTAGAACGCCTTAGGTAGGCTAGGCTAGCTGGTCGGTGAGCCCTAGGGATTCACCTGTGTTTCCCCACTAGCACTGGATCTGGATGGAATCCAGGTCCCCTTGCTGACTGGGAATCCCCTTGCTCCCACACCCTCCTCTCTGACTATTAGGGTACATCGTTGCTGCAGGATGGAGATGCCCCAAGCTTTCCTCGTGCCGGTCCACTGGGGTGTGCTGCAGCAGCTCAGACAGGCAGTGTGCTACTAGGACTGACGCACCTGAGCGGCTGCCTCCCAGTGACCTTGTGTGCATTTCTTCCAGGGAGATGACAGTCTGTCTGCTATTACCTTTGATTCTGACTTTGAGTCGGTGAGTACAGGCAGGGGTGGCAGTCCCCACGTCAGCATCCTTGGGTGTTGTGTGTAAAGCAGTGTCCCCCAGACCCCGCTAGACCCAGAGCACGGGTGTCTGGAGCTGCTTCTGGTGTCGAAGTTTCAACCTGTTAGCTGAATCTAAATAATTCAGATTATCATTTTAAAACTTTGTTTGCTTATTTATTTGTTTATTTATTATAAATCAATTTCAAGGGCTGGGAATGTAGCTCAGTTGGTAGAATAGTTACCTAGGAAGCATGAAGCCCTGGGTTGCCCTTCTGACGCTGCATAAACTGGGAACCGTGTTCCATGCCTGTACTCCTAGCGTCTGGGAGGCAGAGACATGGGGACCAGTTTAAGGTTATCTTCTGCTTGTGTTCAGGACTGGCCTGGGCTACATAAGACCCTGTCTCATTACAATAGTAGCAGCAACAACAAGTGAATATCACTTTAAAGCTAGTTTTAGAAATTAATTTTGAAGGTCTAGAGAGATGGCTCTTTGACACTTGGTGCTCTTACAAAGTACACAGATGCAATTCCCTGTATCCACATAGCAGCTCACATTGACTCGCCAGAGTGCCGGGAACTAGGGTGCACTGTTGAGCCATGCCCTATTCCCTCCCTGGGGGACTCTAGGCAGGGTCTCTACCACTGAGCCACACCCCAGCCCCTCACTGGGGGATTCTAGGCAGGGGCTCTACCACTGAGCCACACCCCAGCCCCTCACTGGGGGATTCTAGGC